TATATATATGTAAAACACATACACACACACACACACACATCTATATATATCAATCAATATAAGCTCCAAATGGACATATGACTTAGATATAAAAAGTGACATCATAAGTAAGCAAAAGGAGCAAGGAAGAAACTACTTTTCAGATACATGTATAGGTTAAGAGTTCAGGCCTAAACATTATTACAGAAAATAATATGGACAATTTTAATTATATCAAATTAAAAATAACTTATACAAACAAAAATGAATCCACTTAAAATTAGAAATAAAATGTGTAACTGGGATAAAATCTTTGGAAAAAGTTTCTCTCATAAAGGTTTTCTATTCGAGATCTACTGAGTGATTCAAATTCATGAAAATAACTGATAAATGGTCAAAAGATATGAACAGGAAGTTTTCAGAAGAAGAATTCCAGCAATACGTACAAATGGCCCGATTCACTAATAATCAGAGGATGCAAATTAAATCAACTCTGAAGTTCCACCTCACACCCATTACATTTGAAAAGATTACAAAAAAGGAAAATTAAATTGCTAGAAGAGCCGCAGGAAAAGAGTACATAAGTGTACGATTGGAGGAGTTGTGAAGCCATTCTAGAAAGCAATTTGGAATGATAACTCCAAATTCCTAAATTGTTGTATATTCTTTGACCCAGGAATACCATTATTAGGTCTATATACCAAAGATATATATTTTTTTAAAGAGGAAAAGGAGTCATTTGCCTAAAAATATTTGTAGGCGCTTTTTCCCTCAATAGCAAAGAACTGGAAACTAAGGGAGTGCCCACCTCTTGGGGAATAGGTAAAAAAAGATAGTATTACATTTGCTGAAATATTATTGGGTCATAAGAAATTATTAAATGGAATTTCAAAGTAAATCTGGAAGACCTCTATGAAGTAATGCAGAGAGAAGTCAGCAGAACTGGAAAAAATAAGTGATCCAATGATAAAAACAGTATTGAGAAAACAAGTTTGAAAGACTTGAGAATGTTGATCAAAAGAATGGTAAATCAGGAGTCCAGAAGACTGAAGATGAAATACAACACCGACCTTCTGCTAGAGAGGTGATGGATTTAAAATGCAGAATGACACATACACCTTTGGAAATGACCAATGTGGTAATTTATTTTGCTAGATGATGCATATTTGTTATGATGGTTTTATTTTTTGATTTTTAATTGTTCATTTGAAGAGGAAGAAATAATGGTTGCAAAAAAATTTATTAATCAATAAGATAAATGAATAAACAAATATATTTTAAATATATTTTTAAAAAGCGAACATAGTTGGCAAAAGACAATTGAAAGAAGAATTCCAGGTGGAGAGAGATTTAAAACTTCAGTATTTTGCCAGACTGTTTTCTATGGTTATGGACTTGAAGTTAAATTGAGTTTGGGGGTGGAAAGCTGTGGAGAAGGAAAAGGAAGGATACAGAGACCTATGGATTAATTTTTTACAGCTTCCTACAGCAGAGAGTGTATGTTTATATCAGGAAACCCATATAGTCACTAAATCAGAAGGAGGGTAGGGGTGAATAAGGATAAATGATCTTGCTTATACTCCATAATACCACTAAAAATGAATGAATGAATGAATGAATGAATGAATGAATGTTTAGGTTTGCAATATCTATAGCATTCTCCTGATCTACTGATCTAGGAATTCTGATACTAGCCTCCTGGCTCTTCCACTAAAAAAAGTCAGGCAATTCAGCTTTCTCATCTGCAAAATAAAGATGTTGGCTTAGATGATTTCTTTGTCACATTCCAGGTCTAATATTCTATGAATAGAGTTATCAAAATTAAAACTTTGAATTTTTTTTTAACTTTTTAAAATTAAAAAAAAACTTTTAATTTTAAAATTAAATTTCTTTAATAAGATATAATACAAAGTCATATTTCCATCTCTTCACAAATAACCATCTGATATGGCATACTGTTTAGATGATAGCATGATAAAAACAACATAGGGCCAGTTATAGGTCCTTACTGGTAGCCTCTTTTTGTAATAAAATACTGGCCAAACAGGCAAGTTTGATGATGGGCAAATCTATGAATCCAGATGATTCATTTTTATACCTTCATGGGAGAAAGAGATGGCAGGCCACAAAACTTGGAGTCAACCTTGAATTTTCTCATTCCTTTGTCCCCTGCAGCTAAGCAGGTGCCAATTTCACCTCTTACTACTCCCCTATTTTCCAGCCAAACTAAACAATAAATTGTTCCCTAACTATAAATACGTTTTCCTACTTGTATTCCTTTGCCGATGATACTCCAGAATACCTGTACTGTTCCATCAAGGCTAACTCAAATGCTATTTTTTCCATGCAACCTTTCCTGATTTCTCCAACTAGATGCAAACTCTCCCTCACATGAGGGAGTCCTGCCTCTTATGACACTCAATCTATTCTGTCTCATATTATAATCATTACTGTATTTGCCTTATCTGTTATTACACGTTAGACTGTGACCTCCTTAAAGGTCAGGATTATGTCTCACTCACATCCCCTACAGTACTTTGCATACAATATATCTTGAGCACTGTGGAGATCACTGATTTTTATCACTGTGGCTGCTTCCTCTAACAATTCAGATCATAGATCCTGCCTTACTAGATGATTTTTCTGAGTTGCTATGGCTATAAACTCATTAACTGGTGGGTGACAGTCTCACCATAGTCATAAGCACACCTTAACCAAGCCAGCCTAGTCCTGGGCTGACTGAAATGACGTTCACTGCTAAATAAGTTTGTGGATAAAGCCCTTCCAGATGGATAGGATTTGTGTCCTGCTGGTTTAGTTGAAGAATCCGGGGTTATCTCCACATTGTGACAAGGAAGCTGAGGAGCACTTGAATAGGAGCTGGATATAGGAGATACCCAATAAATACTTAATGAATTTGCCTCCATCTTGCACACACTCTGTCAACTGGTTATGTTGCTACCTTTGGGAACTGGTTATTAGTCAGTAAGATAGAAGTACAGAGTAAAATGGTAAAAATCTTTCTGCCCTTAGCCATGTAAGGTTCCTATCCCTTAAGCTCAGACTTTTTCCCTCAGACTACAGTCCTACCTCTTTAAACAAATCTTAGCAAAACTCAAATTTAAGGCAGCAAGGTTGTGTAATAGAATACAGGGCCTGAAATCAGAAGAGCTAAGTTCAAATGCAGCTTCAGACACTAGCTATGTGACCTTTTTTTTTTTCATAAAATAAGTTATTTAACCTCTGCCTTAGTTTCCTCAATTGTAAATGGAAATAATAACAGCACCTACCTCCCAGCGTAGCTAATAAATGAGATAATATTTGTAAAAGAGCTTCTCACAGGGCCTAGAACATAGTAGGTACTTAATAAATATTGTTTCTCTTCCTCCCTTTGCCCTAAAAAAAGCCTAATTGTCATAGTATGTCATCTTCCCAACCTACTTAAAGTTTTAAAGCAAAATAATAAAAATAAAACAGGCTATTAAAAGTACAATGGAACCAGGTCCAGTTAATTTGCAAACTCATTCTGCTTTTCATGAGCTTTTGTGCTCTGGCAGATCCCAGTTGTTGCTAGTGTTGACACAGATTAAGAACACTATTATGGACTGGCATCCTTTCAAGGGTAAGCATTTTGAAAGGTTCATGTATTGGCTTCAGGTTCCTTTGCCTAGCATTAATAACTCTTCATATCATAATAACATATCATTTAGCAAAATATACCATTGCAAACAATTCTATATTTCTTTCTGCAGATACAGGGTATTCAAATTAGGTTTATCTCCCTTGGGTTGTGGTTTTGCCAAAAAGAGAATATGTCATGTTACAAAAGATATTCTCCTAACTTCTACCCCTTCCATTCTCCTGAATGAGAATAAGAATAATCAAGAGAATGTTATTATTTCACCTGTGTGTTTCATCCTTCCCCCATTCCACTGAAAAATGGATTAGCATCATGCCTCTCATTCTTACACACTTTTTCCAGACCTGGGGAGGTAAATGACTTAAAATCCCACAGACAATTACTGAGTGAGCTGGGAGAGCTAGGATATCAGAACCTAGGTTTCGTGACTGATTCCCAGGATGTATTTTTGTGTTGGTCATTACAGTATGGTATTTTTCTGTACTTTTTCTAGCTATATCTCAAGAATAACTTGGGACTGAAATTGTAGCACAGTTCCACTCCTGCCAAGGAGGACAGCTAGCTTATTCATACATTGTACTAAGCAACCCACCCTCTCCAAATCTAGGAAAGGTTTCTGTCAGTAGTTTTAAACAATCTTGGTCTCTAAATAGATTTGGACAAGATACTTTTCTTCATACAATAAGTTATAGAATATTATAATTGGAAGAGTTCTTGGAACTAAAACCAAAGTTTGGATCTCCTAAATTGAAATACAAAGCCCTTTCCAATATACATTTTTTTAAAATCCTCAAATGAGTATAATTATTTTATGCCCACAATTTGTATCAGGAGGACATTTTAAGCATGGGATATTCACAAAGGAAGATCCAGCTACTCTCATTATTACATCGATTCCTTAACATAAGGTATTGTCTGTAGTGGTTCAAGAAGCAAAGGTTCCTTGTTGACCTTACTTAAAATATTCAATTGCTCCCTTCCCCCCTCCCAAAAAAAGATCAAAATTCTAGGTTCTCTTTTTTTGGTTCCTTAAATTTTCTTAACTATCATCTCTCTGCAAGTTAATGTCTAAAAAGCCTCCTGATATTGGGTAGAAACCAGAGAAATATGTAAAATAATTTCAGTAGAACAGGGTTATAACAGAGTACATTACTACATGGATCTGAATATATTGTTGGTCAAATTACCATCCCAAATTTTAAAACATGCAGAATAACCTTAATCAACACGATTTGACTTTTCAAGTTGATCCTAGAACTGGTTTCTTACATCAGCTTTAAAGCATATCCTATCCATTTGTAATAGTGATTTCTACCACAGTCAACTGGTGCTTCACATTAGATATCGTGCCACAAGCCCATAAGTACAAATTCACACTCACATCTCTCATCATTTTCACTGCCTCCCTGGTCCTCCCAAGCTTTCTTGCACACATCGCTAGCCTCCTTTTAATGTAGACCAAGACATTGGTATCTCGTCCTAGAGGGGGAAAGAAGAATGAGAATTATGAAACCACGAGTAGTTCCACTGAGCAAAGAAAAAAAAAAGAATAATACAAAGAGGTCCATTTACTATCCCCACAGAGGAAAAACCCAAGTGAAGATTTATTGCTCTCCTTCAGCACTTTTGCTATTGCCAAGAGCCAGGACCCTATTGTGGGTGATCCACAACCTGAACCATTAATAGCAGAGTGAATATACCACAAAGCACTAAGATTTTGAAAGGTCAGATCATCATGTGCCTGGTGACCTAGACAATGCTATTAAGTAAAGATGCTGAACATACAAATTAATGTCAGATTAATGATCTAGTTCTTGGTAAATATTTAGTAAAGAAATTCATCTGCTAGATAGTGCCTAAGAATATGAATAAACCCATCTTGCATGAAGGCTTGTAAGCCAAGAATTCCACTCCTCAAGTGTGCATGTTTTTTTTCTAAGAATGCAAAGAGGTGAATCTCAGGTTGCATCCTGATGAACAACTTTTTTTCCCTCTTTGACATTAAGTCTGGAGAAGCCACATCTTGAACTTCTGTTTTATATTATTCTTGCCCTAGCACTAGTGACATCATAATCATCTCCAGGTCCCCAAAGCAGTCTGTTGTAGATGGCAGTATAACACATTCCAGATATGACAATAGAATATGCAATGGAATACAAAAATACCCCTGTGTTAGAGAAAGCATTGACAAGCTAAATAGTTATAACAATAGTCACCAATATGACTCTTAGAAAATGCATTACTGACTTTTCATCTTAATCTTTTATTTAATTCTATGTCTTTTTAAATATGTTTTCAGACCAGTGAGAACATACATGCACTTAATCCTCTATAAAATTACCATATTTCAGAAAATATGACACACCTGTTGTAGATTAAGTACATGTATAATATGTAGCCATTAAAAGATTTTAAGACCAAAGTCCTAACATTTCAAGTCTTAAACAATGAGAACAAGATGTGTGCTGAAAACTTTCCAAGTACCTACAAATTATTTTAAAGATGTGATTATACTTTTTGGATAGATTTAAGCAACAGGTTGAAAGGATTGAATTTTGAAGAGAAAAGAAACAAGAGGAAAGAGAAAATTTCTTCAGCTGTATTTTAGATTATGTAATTTTATGTATTAATACCCAAATAGTTCATAAAACACTCATTAACTACATATGTTTTCAAAATCCATTGTGTTGTGCCTAATATTCATGTTTTCCAAATCAGGGCGTAGAAACAGGTGGTGATTAGAGAACTGCTTAAGCATGTTTGCTCACTGTAAATTAAATCTACATGTAATGAGGTATGTGTACCTATCCCTGCATTTGTGAACTGTGTGCCAAAGATCACTCTGGTGCCTGAATAGGGAAGACTAATGCAATGTGAGTAGTCATACAAAACCAAGATCAACACTAATCCTTAATTTAAACTCCCCTTTATAAGAAGAAAACACCAAGTCTCATCTCTTCCTCCACAAACTACAGTTGGGAGAACACTGAAGAAAAGGCCCACTCTGTTCTGAAAATGACCTGTTGATGGGTGATGACACCACTTTCTATAAGGGTGGCTAACTTAAAAATTCAACTAATGAGTACTGAGGATGCCAAAAGTGATCTAATTCTCCAGTTTCTGTCTCATACTTCAGGACTATAAGCCTAAGATAAATGAACATAGGATTAGAAGACCAGAACATCAGTTGATGTAAAGGAAAGCCAAAAAATGGCATTAATTTGAGATAAGTCTTTAAAGACAGCAATATGATGTTTCCATTAAAAAGTAAAAGAAAGACTATTTTAACCAGCAAATAACATATAAACATTTAGCCTTCTATATTTTTAAAAAAAGGTTTTTACTTATCTTTTAATAAGTGCTAAGTGCTTGAACAATCAGTAATAATAATTTTTCAGGTGGTTCCATTTAATAATTATACTGTCCCAGAGTTATGAGCTATGCTTTTTGTTGACATATGGATAAGCATTAACCTCCCTGAGCTTTAGTTACTTCATCCATAAGATGAGGGAGTTAATCTAGATCTAAGATACTTTCAAGCTCTAACATTTTATGATTCTCTGAGTCTTCCAAGGCCAATTTGGCTGCTGAAAACAACTTTAATTTATATTTTGGTACAGGAGACATTTAATAATGGAGAAATACGTAGGAATGTTATAGATAGGTTTCTGCATTCCTAACTTTCACTTCCATGACTATGTCTATATACAAAAAAGAAATACTAAATAGAAGAATCAAGCTACAAGTTTATCTGGCTAATGAACAGAATGTTACTTGTAATCTTTCTTTTGAAGAAAGCTTAGGTCCCAACTTTTCCATGAACCCTTCCCTGATTTCACCCCCCTCAAACAGAAGGGCTCTCTCCCTTCTCAGAACTGTATAATATCCCCTCTCTGCTGAACCTCTCCTGTGCCTTTACTGAATTCTTAACTTGTAATACAGTTACTTCTAGATGTATATCATCCCCCTATGACAATGTAAGCTCCTGAAGAGGAAAGACTATCTCTTTTTTTCCATCTTGTATCCCAAACACTTAGCACAGCGCCCTACATATAGCAGAGGGTTAAGAAACGTTTGCTGAATTGCCTTGAATGAAGGAAGCTACCAAAGGAAGAGTTATAAAACACACACACACACACACACACACACACACACACACACGCACACACATACACACATGTAAAAACTAAGAGAAAAAGAGGTCTATAACTAAATTTCAAAAACAAATACTTATTTTAGTCTAAGAAAGCCAAATATTGAAGTAGTTGGGGTTGGGGTAGAGGAATCTCATTTGTTGGTTCTTTATTAATTAAAATGTCCACAGAGTTAACCCAGAAGAAGTCTTACTATGTTGGGCTTCATATTGAGCTCCATGATGCTGTAGCTGTTGGGAACGTCTGTAACAGCCTTCTCCTGCCTTCAGAGCCTGTTTGAAGAGTTTCTCTGCCTCTACGATAGTGGTGGCTTCCTCCTCAGCCAGGAGGATATATGCTGTGGCACACCTGTCAATAAGATGAGCAAAAAGCAATCATCAACAACAAATCTAAGGAAACACTTAGGGAACATGGGCAGGAGGAACGGTGAGCAAAAATTTGGAATCATGGTAAGGGGGGTCACCTGGCTCATTTTCCAGAGTGTTTGTCTCTACAAAGTAATTACTTTTTTTTTAAATAGAGGAAAGAAAAACCTGCATCTCAGCTTTAAACAAATCAAAAGGTACAAGTCAGCCCAGTACACCAGGGAAAAGGTACTGGCTTTTTGTTTATTTGTCACATAGAGATGAGAGAAGAATTCATTCCTCCCCCATGAAGTTGTTCTCTGATGCCTTACCATGGCATGGCATGGAATGGAGATGACCCTGGCTTCTTGAAATCCATGCCACTGTAACATAAGCTTTGGAAGACCCGTGGAGGGATAGGGCAGAGGGGAACAAGCATTTATTAAGTGCCTACTATGTGCCAGACACTGTACTAAACGCTTCACAAATACCATCTCATTTGAAAAGTGACATAATTATGGGAATTCTTTGGCCATGACAATCCATGAATCCCCCCTCCCCCCCAAAAAAATGGGCTTAGTCCTACTTTTCACAGCAATGACGACAGAATGGCTAAAATGGGGAAGGGGAAAGAAGGGTATTAAGAATTACACAATTTTTAGACTGTCTATAAATAATAATGTAACTGTAGTTACTCAAAATGAGAGGTTTTTGTCCACTGACCAATGAAAATAAATCATTACAGAAATGCTAACAAACGTAACATTTTGTTTATTTGTTTTCTATTAGTTTCAACAATGACTGCCCTTAAGATGATGAGATTCAGTTGAGTATCACTACAACAGCTTCAAATAAGCTATCAACACTGAAAAATATAAAAATGTAGATTTTAACCTTGATTATTATTGTTTTCTATAAAAGTTTAAAATTGGATCATAGATTTAGATGTGCCCAGGTTCACAAAGCTAATAAGGCTAATTGACGCAGTATTCAAACTCAGGTCTTCCTGACCCGAAGTCCAACACCCTCTCTACTACATAATGTTGCCTCTCTATCCACTAAACCACACTGTCACCCATGGAGTAGCCCTATTTAGGCCAAAAGAGCCTAGAAACCACTTTAGACAGTATAAACTACTTGCTCTCTTTGCCAAGCAGAGACAAATGGCAGAGGCAACACTAGTTAAGATGACAAACTCATATGGAAAAGGGTAGTGGAAGATTATGAGCAGAGGAACCGTGGTACAGGGGAAAGAGTGGTAGATTTGGAATCAGAGAACTTGAGTTTGAATCTTGTCTGCCATTTTCCTGAACATCCTAGAACAAGTCCTTTAACCTCTCTACGCTTCAATTCTCTCATCTGTAAAATGAGTGGGAGGACTAGAAGGACCTACAAATTCCCTTCCAAATCTAAATCTGCTGTCTTGTGACCTCACAGAACAAAGAAAGAAAGAGGCAGAGAGAGGAAAAATAAAAGAAAGAAAAGAGAGAGCGAGAAAGAAGGGAAGGAAAGAATTATGAAGTACTATGTATTAAGTACTCTATTAAGCTCTGGATACTAATACAAAAGCAAAGACAGTCCCTCCTGCCCTCAAATAGTTATATGTTGTGACAGAGGAGACAAAACATATAGGGGACTGGTAGACAGGGAGGGATATTTTGTTTTGGCAAGTTACAAGGATGGTGAATGGAGCCCTACAGAAAGCTTGGGGTGAATCCCAATTGATTCTCATCATTCCAGGGCATTCACAGTTGAAATTGAAACAAAAATGGAACACATGTTAGAATTTCTGTAATGATTTTTTTTTGTCATCATCAGTGACAAATCCTATTGGCCTTTAAAACATGTCAGACCCTGATGTGCTTTTTTGTGTAAATTAAAATGGCACACAAGAAGACAATACTGAGAAGAGTGGTTGTATCAGTTCACATACACAATAAGGCTGTTCTGTGATTATACAAATCTTGTAAAAAAAATCTTGAAAACACACAAATCTTGAAATCTTCCCTTGAAAACATTGAGGGATCACTTTATAAAATACTAAGATAGTAACAACAACTAACATTTATAAAATACTTTCAAATTCACAAAACACTTTAAATCTCATTTGTGTCTCACAACAGCCCTACACAGTAGGTACTACTGGCATTATTACAATTATTTTAAGATACTTCAGAGAGGCTGTGACATGGAATTTGAACTCATATCTTCCTGACTATAAGTCAAACACTCCATCCACTCCACTAACCTTCTGTATACATAATATCAAGAACATTAAAGCTGAAAATGAGTTAAAACCAACAAGGATTACAAAGGATAAGAAAAACAATATATTTAGGTATTTTAGAGGAAAGAAGTACAAAAAAGGCTAATAACTGCCATTTTGGCTAGAAAGAATCTAAATGATGGATGATATAGAGAAAGTATATCTACCTACAGTCCAGTGAAAAGAACATTTTATTTGGAGCCAGAAGGCATAGATTTAAATCCTGAATTTTAATTCACTTACACCACTTACATGGGCAAACCACTTAATTTCTCTGACCCTCAATTTCTTCATCTGCAAACTGTACTAGATGCACTCAGAGACCCCTTCTGGCTCCAAATCTAGGATTCTACTCAATTCACATTTTGCTTTTATTTTCTCTGCAAGGAATAATGGATTTTGGACTGGGAAAGACAGAACAAAAATGGCTGAAAGTCAAAAATCAAGATAAGTAACATGAAAGACAGTATGTAACTGCCCTTGAAAAGTTCAAGTCACCAGCCCAGATGAACTACTTCCCAGGATACTGAAAAAAAATAGGTGAGTGACCATCAGTGATCTTTAAGAGCTCATGGAGGAAAGGAGAGGTGCTGTGGTACTGGAGAAGGGTGAAGTTCCCAATTTTGAGAAAGGAGAAAAAAGGAGAGTTTGAAAACTTTGGTCAACAAGCTAATTCATGGGGCAGCTAGGTGGTACAGTGGATAGAGTAATGACCCTGGAGTCAGGAGGACCTGAGTTCAAATCCAGCCGCAGACACATAACACTCACTAGCTGTGTGACTCTGGGCAAGTCACTTAACCCCAACTGCCTCACCAAAAAAAAAAAGTTAATTCGAGAACATGCTATTTAATGAATAGAGAACAATCATCTACCTATCTAGGGAAGGAAGCAGCAATCAAGATGTTTCTAGGACTCCACTAAGAGTAAGTCACTCACTTAACAGACATTTCTTAAGCATTTGTGGCAGATACTGTCCTAGATGATAGAGACAAAATGACAAAAACAAACCTGTGCCTGGCCCTCAAGAAGCTTACAGCCTACTGTCAGACAGACTACCCTCATTTCCTTTTTGAAAATTAAAAAACTAGATGGATATATTAAGGTAATGGTGTAGATAGAGTTTGACAAGATATATTCAAGCATTTGACAAAGTCTCTCATGTTATACACTGTGGAAAAGATGTTGCTTTAAAATAATCAGAATCAAAATAAATTGAATGATGAGATCCAAGTCATTATGAACTGATGTTAACTGAAAGTAAGGCCTAAGATTAAGATCATAAGTTTAGAGCTAGAAGGTATGTTGGAGCCAGTCAATCAGCAAACATTTATTAGTCATCTATAATATACCAGGCATTGTGCTAAGCATTGGACTAGTAAGTCCGACCCTCTCATTTTACAAGTTAAGAAACTGAGGTCCAAGAATTTAAGTGATTTGCCCAAGGTCACATAGCTAGTATCTGAGATGTGATTTGAACCCAGGTTCTCCTAACTCCAAGTCCAATATCACCTTTAGCGACCAACAAGGATGTGGGTAAGTCTCTGGGCCATTGCCGAGTTGTTGGGGAAGAAAGCAGGCCAGATGCATTGGAGCACTCCATACTTCTACTGCTCTAGCCAAGAAATAATCTTTCTTTTGCTTTCCCTTTCATTGTCTAATCCTACCTTCTTATTCTCTCCTTCCTACCTTCCCCAAAAGTTCTTCTCTAGCTGGTAATAGCTCAAGCAGCCAAGAACTAGAGTTCTCCTTTTGGGGGTTTGGGGTAAGGAGAAACCACTTAAAGTATTGCATCTTTAAGCTATTTCTAAACTCCAACTGCCTGCAGGTCACCTTCCTGGTTCTTGAACTGGTGAAAGGTAGTAGAATTTATATCTTTTAAACTCTGAGGTTATATCCTTTTAATTCCTTGATAGTAACATTGGTTTTATTGAATTTTTATGGTTTGCAAATGCCTTACTGCATCTCACCCCTTGAGCCGAAATTGCTGGACTTACCTAATTTAACCCTGAATACATGGTATGATTACTAAAGTTACTGATAACACAAAGCTGAGAAGGATAGCTAAGACAACTGATGACAGAGTCAGGATCCAAAAAAGACCTTAATAAGCTAGAATACCAAACTAAATTTCATAAGATTCAATTTAAGAGAGATAAATGAAAAGGTCTATTTTTGGAATCCAAAAAAATCAAACTTAACAAGTACAATATGGGAGAATGGTCCAAAGATAATAGTTCACGTGAAATAGATTTGTGGGTTTTAATGGACTACAAGCTCAATTTGTGTCAATAGTGGGATATGGCAACCAAAAAAAGCCAACACAATCCTGCCTGCATTAAGAAAGGCATGATATGTAGGACTAGGAAGGTGATATTATTGCTATACTCTGGCCAGACAACATCTAGAACGATGTGTTTAGTTCTAGGCATTTAGTTTTAGGGAAGAACACAGATAAACTGGAAAGCAACTAGGATGGCAAAGGGTCACAAAATCATGTCATACAAGGATTAAATGAAGGAAATAGGGATGTGCAGTTTAGAGAAAAGAAGACTTAGGTGGGGAACATGATTGCTGTCTTCAAGTATCTGAAGGGTTGTCCCATAGAAGAGGGATCAGATTTATCCTTCTTAACCCCAGAAGGCACATCTAGGAGAACAGGGGGAAGAGTCAGGCTCAATATAATGACTTCATCAAGATGATCAGTGCTATCTTCCTCATTAGAGAACAAATGTGCAAGCTGGACGGCCATTGGTTAGGGAGGTCATGAAAAGGATTCTTGGTCAAGTACAAGTTGAACTAATGTCTGTGAGGTTCCTTCAATCTCTAGAATTTTGTAGTGACCACTATTTATTTTAGAAATAATGATAACACCTAGGATTTTCAATTTCTGATAGTTCAGACTCCTTTCCAGCTACAGTAAAGTCAACTGTCATTCCCTAGAGTTAAAACTCAAATTCTTTTAATAATGTTTCCCCACTTAACCTTAGTAAGAAAGAAATAAGTGATTAACTGATTCTGAATAGGAGGTTTCGTGGTAAAACAGATACTTCTCTAATTATGTCAAGAGACTTTTGGAAAATAAAATGTAATAGAAAAATAATGAATAATATTAGGTACTATTTATCCTGTGTCAGATGATACAATTTATCTTTCTATCTTATCCATTTCCTTGTTTATCAACATCTCGATCAGGCCACAGGGGAGAAAATAAATACTAAATAAAACCCAAATTTACTGATTTTTTTTTCTGATAAATGGCCCTTGTAATTGGTAGTGAGTGACAAAGGTTGAACCCTCGCTTACAAGAGGATTGGGGCTTACCTTCTTGTTTTCCAAGACTCTTTGCTTTGAGAAGGGATCTTGTCAAAACAGTCAATTTACCCATCCTTTGAAATCCAAGTCAAATCTACTCTGTGAAGCCCTTTCTTGATCACTGTTGAACCTCACATGGCACTTTATACTTCTTAACGTACTTATGTGGGGGACAGGGGAGCCTTTGCAACATAATGTGGCATAATGGGTTTGGTTTCAGATTTGGGCTCAGAAGATTAATGCCAATACTGGTTATGCTACATCAGGCCAATCACTTAACTTCAGGCTTAATATCAGTAAAACGGAGACATCTTGCTTATCTATCTCTAAATCATAAAATATTATGTTAAATATTGGCTATTGGGGGTAGCTAGGTGGCACAATGGATAGAGTACCAGCCCTGGAGTCAGGAGGACCTGAGTTCAAATCTAGCCTCAGACACTTGACGCTTACTAGCTATGTGAACCTGGGCAAGTCCCTTAAGCTCACTGCCTAGCCCCACTCCCACCCCCAAAATATTGGCTATTGTTATTCTTTATAGTTATTTGTCTATGTGTCATACCCCTCTTCAGGCTATAAGCTCTATGAATGTAGACAGGGACCATGTCTGATCTAAGTTTCGTATCTCCCCCTAACCACAGCACACTTCTTTGCCCACAGTTGATAATAAATATTTGCTGAATTTAATATGAATCTCCCTCAGTGAATGCAGTACTAGATTTAAACTTTCCCAAGCCTATATGAGGATTTCCCAATTTTTTTTTAAGACCTTGTTTGTAAATTTACAAAGGACACCACACAACCTCCAATGTGTTTAACAGCCTGTCAGGGCAACATTTGTTTTTGCATATCTTTGAAATATATAGATATATTTCATTGTTTACATCTGTGGTATTCTTTTACCATTAGCAGGGATAATGTCTAAAAAAATATGACAGCACCAAAGAGAATTCTGAATCAGTTACAATTTCTCCTATTTAAAATTCAAGTGATTATACTAATTTTTTATTTACATGACATCGTGAATTTCAATTAGGTCTGAAAATCTACTATGTCATCTGTTTGTGATAAAAAATTTTTTGTTAAAAGTTCATTTCCCTACATATAATTATTTACTTCAAATTCAGTCTTTACAGTCTGATATCAATGGCAACTCTGCATTCCAGCCAAGAATGGAATTTTCATCATGGAAATTAAGAAAAGGCATAATATTCTTCTCACTTACTCATTTAACTCTAAGGCTTCATGTGCTGCAGAAATTCTAGCTTGGGGGTTCCTTTCTCTCCAGGCTTTCTGCATGACTATTAAATTAAAAAAGACAAAAACATGTCAATCATTTTAGCAGCATCAGAAGAAATCAAGTATACTGTGACATCTAACTAACTGCTTGAATTAGGAAATACTTTACATACCAAGAGAATCAGCCAGTCTCCCTAAAGATATATAATCAATTGAATTTTCTATTCTCTTTTATACTCAGATTGCATTAAGCCTTTGTTCACTGATATGTCTATAGAACTTCTATTTGAAGATTCAAGAAAATGAGGAAAAGAAGTTTCTAACAGGTCCCGGGTCACTGAATTTAAATGTCAGAATAAAAACACACTTTATCTTCTATATCCTCAGAAGACTGAAATATTGATATCTTCCCTCCCAATTAGTCAATAGCATCATTTATATTTGCCATTTCTCTATTGCAAATGCTTGCTGCAAGCCCCTGGATGCCATGCTATACCATTTTTTGAGTTGACATGCAGGCAGAGAACCTAAAATTTTTGCACACACTCACACACATACATACACACACACACACACACACACACACACACACACACACACACACACAGAGCCATCTCCTGTTGGGCAGAAGGAGTGGCAAGTTTCCCTTAAAATGGTTTCTTTTGCAGAACAAAGCACACATAGTTACCTACTGTAGCCATTACCATATATGCTTAGTGGACTGCTCAGTGGAATGTGACTGATGATGAATCAACTAAAAATGATGGAACTCTTATCATTTATATTCACCACTTCTTAAGTTCTAACCAAAGTGTTTCCCTTCAATCACTCAGGGAGCAGATTCTGAATCTTAAGTGTAAATTACTTTAACAAAATATCTGTGTTTGGGGGGAAAAAAAAACCTGAATGCAAATCTCATTTTTGTACATCAAAATACATTTAAAGGCATTAGGGAAGGTCACCACTTTTGGCCATTTTTCACACAGGATTCCATTCTCATAGAGCCATCACTTTAGTATAGGCCTTCATCTCTTCTCACCTAGATTACAGGAATGGCTTCCTAATTGGTCCTGCTGTGCTTTACTACATCCTCCACACTACTGCCAAAGTGATTTTCTTTAAACACACATCTGATCAGGTTACTCCCCTACTCAATAAAAATTCCAATAGCTCCTAAATTACCACTGGGATAAAATATAAATTCCTGTGTTTAGCATTAAAAACCTTTCACAATCACCTGGCCTTAAACTGTGTTTCCAGCCTCAATGGACATGACTCCCCCCTCCTATACTCTGCTATCCAGCCAAACTGGCCTTCTCTCCCTCTGTTCTTCACATAATTGGCTCCATCTCCCATCTCCATTCTAGGAGTGCACTTCTTCTTCCCTCCAACTCATAGAATCCTTCTCTTCCTTCAAGTAGTGGCTCAGGCATAACCTTTCACATGAATGAAGCCTTCACTGATTCTCCCCAATTGCTAAAGCCCTCCCCTCCTAACTTCCTTTGTATATACAACTAATTTGTATTTATTTTTAGCTATTCTCTTCATATTTATTCTATACAGATTTACATATGTATTTGTGGTCTCCCCCACCAGAATGTAAGCTCTTTACAACTACGGGTTGTCTCATTCTTTATATTTGTATCCCCAGTGCCTACCAGAGTCCTGGCACACAGTAGGTACCTAAGAAGTGCTTGCTAATTGCTTGTCAATGCTTTCTATAAAAACAACAACAAAAGGACAAAATTTGAATTTTGTCCCCCAATTTAACAACTCTTTATGTGTATGAACCTTTGATTATAAGATTTTCCCAAAATGGGTTACCATCTATGATTTTTTCCTCATAATTTATGCAAAATACATCTGAAACACATTTCTTACTTGCATCTGCTGGCCGCAAATGATCTGTGTCACATGTAAAGAATGTCTGATGGTCTTGTGCTGAAAGATTCATGTCATAATAGGTCAAAGGTTCTCGTCCTGTTACCCATGTATACCTGTAAAGGAAAATAAGGTAGTCAGACACTTCTGAGAGAGAAACAAAAGACCTATATGCCATTTATCTACATAGGTATAAGAATACCAACATCACTTATACATTAAAACATTTTTATAAATAAGTACCAAAAGTATATGGCTCACAATTTATTTTAATCATAACTTCATCCCTTCCAGAGTTGTGTACTGGTGGAAACAATTAAAATAATAATTTTTTCTATAGTTTTGGCCTGAATTATGACTTGCCGCAGACAAGGTACTAAAAAAAGTTTTTACTAACTAATGATAATGAATAGGAATATTTTTCAAAAGCCATGGAAATGCAGCAATTTGCCCAATTACTTTACTAAATTATATTCAGATATATCTCCTGTAATTCCTCTTTATTAAAATGTGCCAGAGAAGCTTCAAAAAATTTTGATTTGGTGATACATCTGTAGCATAAAGCTCTATTAGAGGAATGGTGAGCCCATATGAATTACAGTTCCTATTAAGACATTCAAATTCCTCTCTGTGTTAAAAATGTTTACCGAACAGTTGGCAACGTTTCCAAATGCTAACAGATACGGAGTTGTCATGATGTGTTGATTTTACTTCCTATGTTCTATTTTTAGGGAGGCAGAATTTGCCCTTACAGGACCCAGGTTTAAATCAAGGTTGGCCACCTACGTGACATGGGGCCACTTATTTAACTTTTCTGGGCCTCAGTTTTCTCACATTCAAGATGAGGACACTGGTCTAGATGACCTCTAACATGACCACTAAGATCCCTTCCAGCTGTAGAGCCACAGTCTTCCCGTAACACAGGCTACATCACAAGTCACCATGGCTGAGTTTCCTAAACAAAGAGCTGGGTCCCCAGCAAGGCACGCCAAGGATTCCTGGGGAGTAGTGCCAGGGAGCCATATCAGTTCTAGAGCTAAACTAGAAAACTTTATTTCATCAAACTTTTAAAACACTTACCGATTATATTCAGCCCCTCTAAATAGATTTAGTGGATTTCGCCAAACCTTGCACTCTGTAGCAAAAAATATATATAAAATAATTAATAGAATCAAGGAAAAGAACGATTCATTAATTCAGCAAACCTTATTTGCCCACATCATAACACGATTTTATTTACAGACCCCGATGGTTTCACTTATGGGGGGGGGGGACACTTGGGGGGGACACTAGACAAGCTATCAGGAGACTAGGTCTGGCCAAATAACCTTGTGTCACTTAATGTCTTTGTGCTTCAGCTTCCTTACTTGTAAAACAAGGAAAATGTACCAGATCACCTTGAGGGTTCCCTCTGAATAGCCCTTTAGCTCTGGCTCTATCACTGACTAGCCATGTGACCTTGGGCAAATCATTAAACTCCTGCAGGACTCAGTTTCATAGCCTTTAAATGAAAATAATACGTGTGTTCTCATAGCTGTCATAAAGAAAATGTTTTGTAAAGTTTGAAGGCCTTTTGTAAATTGTTCTTCTCTGGGCCTGGAACAAAAGAAATTCTGATCTCCCTTTGAGCACTAAGAACATTCTATGATGAATCTAATAGTGAGATGTAATGAAAGTAGAAGCAAAAAAGAGCTTTTTTAATAACTTAAATTTTTTTCTTATAAGTTGAATAATCTTTCATATTAGAAATGTTTATTATCTATGTGACCTTGAGCAAATATTTTAACCTCTGAACCTCAGTTTTCTTATCTGTAAAGTAGGGGCAACAATGTTTGTTGGGCAGTATTGTGATTCAAAGAAGATAATAATAAGGTGTTGCTTTGTAAACTTAAAGCCTACATAAAAATGCCAGCTACTATTATTATCATAGAGATTTGAGGGCAGAAAGAAATAAGATTTAATACTGTTTCCATGATTGCATAGGTATTTAAGGAGAAGAATTAATATCAAAAAGAGATAAAGAGAGTAAGAACATTAAGCATTGGCCAGTTATGGCTATTAACTTTGTGAATTTACTTTATTAAGGCATCACAATGCAGGTAATTTTATTGGTCAGAGATAGATAAGGTTAGGTCCGACTGGTTTTAGCTCCTCAGGTTTTAAAGTGCAAAAATCAAAATAAAATAATATTGTTTATAAAAATAAAACCAATTACAAAACCAGAGTAGATACTGACCTAGCATAAGTTCAGACAATTCCAGGCATGAGAACAACAGAATTTTAAATAGTTTGCCAACTTTAAAGATGCACAAGTGGCTCATCTTCGAATCAAAACACAAAACGACAGAATTGTCAAGCTAGAGAGGACCTGGGAGATCATCTAGTACAGACCTATCATTTTACTGATGAGGATGCGGAAGCCCACAGAGATCAAGTGTTGCCTAGATTTTACAAGGCACTTTCAATGGGGAGGAAGTAGTGAGGAGATCTGAAAACATTTCTTTCAGAGGATTTTGTCTCTCCTCTTCCTCACTCCCAGTGAGTCTGTATTTGCAAGGCATTTACCACTCCCAATAATTTACATCCTAGACAAACTGCTTAATCTTTCTGAACCTTAGTTCCCTCATCTGTAAAACGGGAATAATAATAATTATGTAGCTTCACCAGGATGTTTCAAGGAAAATACTTTATAAGGCTTAAAGCTTGTTGTTATTATTATTAAGATTCAATAATAATATTAATAATTATTAACTTTTCATACATGGATTTTTTTCAGCTACGGGTTCCTTGGGTGGGTGAAAGTGCTCCATCTTAGAAAAGAACCATCAAAGGAAAGCATAGCTTGATTGGACCGTTAAAGATAAGTGAAAAGAACAAGGAAGCAGAGTAACTACATGGGTAGGGAAGCAGTGAGCAGGCCATACCAGCAGAGGTCAGTGTGGGCCAGACTTACAAGAATCAGTTCAGGAAGGGCACCAATATGAAAAGATTTTTCATTCCAAATGCCCAAGTCATATCAAGGAACCATACTAGGTCACTGAAAATACTACAAGATATCACAGAGCTTCACTATATTGTGATCTACCAGGTGGAAAATTTATGATGCCTCTTGATTTTTATTTTTAACAAAAGTTCCCTCCTATATTGTGACCCACCTATAGCAAGTCAATCAGTTATTGCAAATCTAATGGAATTCTATGAGGAGATTTTTCTCTGGCTTTCAGGTTGGGTGATTAAACAAACAGAAGATCAGCACCTTCATAAATTAAATTTTTGTGTCATGAGCATTCAGGACATAAGGATTATAAAATTTATTATACTTAAGGCTACAAACATATTCTACAAGGTTTACATTTGATGTCAAGCCAGCAAGTATTTATTAAGAGCCTACTACCTATCAGTCACTGTTGTAAGTCCTGAGAATACAAACCAAAGCAAAAGACAGTCCCTGTACCAAGGAGCTCAAAGTCTAATGGAGGAAACAACTGGCAAACAATTATGTACAAACAAGGTATGTGCAGGGCAAACTGCAGATGATCTGAAAGAGAAGATAGCAGCATTAACAAGGACCAGAAAGGATTCTCGCAGGAGGCAGAATTTTACTGGGACTTGAAGGAATTCTACCAGAAGGCAGAGACGAAACGGGAAAGAATTCCAGGCATGAGGGAACAGCCATCAAAATACATAATTAGAAGATGGAACGTCTTGTGTAAAGAACAGCCAGGAGGCCATTATCACTGGCGTGCATGGAGGGGAGTAAGGTGGGAGAATGCTGGAAAGACAGGAGCGGCAAGGTTATGATGAGCTTTAAGAGCCAAACAGAGAATTTTATATTTGATCTTGAAGAAATAGGGAGCTACTGAAGTTGAGGTGAGGGGGGAGGATTGATAAGATTAAATCAATGATTTGGGAAGTTCACTTTGATAAATGAGTGGAGAATGGAATGCAGTGGGAAATCTGAAGCAGGGGAACCAAGCAGAAAGGTATTACAACAGTCCGGGTATGAGGTGATGAGGGGCTTGTACCAGGGTGGTGATAGTGTCACAGGAGGGGAGGGGGCACGTGTGATACAAACTGGCTATGGGAAGAGGTGAGAATGGGGCGATGAGGTTATTAATAAAAAGCTGTGGATTTGGAATCAGATATGACATGTCCAAATCCTACTTCCAACACTTATTAGTTTATGTGGGACCATATGCAATTCACTTAAAGTCTATGAGCCTCAGTTTTCTAATTCGTAAAACTAGGATGATAATTATGGTAGAACTATTCTGAACTGTTCTGAAGATCAAATTAGACAATGAATTAAAAGTATTTTGCAAACTTTAATGAACTATGTAAACATTTCAGCTATTGTTGTTGTTATAGTGTTATATTACTGAACTTTATCTGAACTGTTGATAGTAAACTAACTAGATGTTTCAAAGTTCAGTAGGAAATTAAGAAATTTCCCCCACAGGACACTATGATAACAATAAAGATGAGAGTAGTTATTAAAACCTTGAACTGCACTAAGATTTGGAGGCACCCTGGAGAAAACCCTTTAAAGTTTACAAAGCTAATGTATAGACAGTATTTCATTCAATTCTAAAAACAGCCCTCTGAAGTAATTACTACATGGTTCAGTTCATTACCAGGAAGTAGACCTACTGTTATGACGGTAAATTATGAAATACACTCCCCTAAACATTTTACATTCATTATATATCGAAACTAAATTTAATTGCTTAAAACATAAATAACTCCAGAAAATTTTAGTGTAGTATAGTATATGGGGTTAGTATGGTACAAGGTGAAAATCTCTATTTTGGGAGTCAGTGGGGCCAGATTCAAATCCTAGCTCTGCCAGTACTACCTATGTAACCTTGCGCAAATCACTTAAACTCTCAGGATCTCAGTTTTCTCATCTGTTAAATGAGAGGGTTGGATTAGAAAACCTCTAGGTCCCCTCTGTATTCATGATCTCAGCGGCATGGAGTTCACACAAGATAACAGCTATATCCCAAGACTCAGTCTTCAATTGTGTAGTGTTGCTACATGACCAGCAGGGGGTATAACAAACATCATTATGAACAAATGTGACTTGATTTGCATCCACTGATCCTACCGTACAATTGTTTTTGTTTTAAAAGCTGTTTTACATATGTATAACATGTGATATGTACATATACACATGTGTCATCTAACCATTTAATTTTTATTTATATCTTAACTTTCAGCTTTAAAGACATATTAATGAAGATAGTTCCTATTATACTTTGTATTGTCCAAAATACACACATATATGTACATGTGTATATATACACATATATACAAACATGTTCAAAGCCTAGACTTATATGTTCTAGACAACAAATATTCTAAATGATATGAAGTATCCCTAGGTAGCATCTTCATTTGTATATCTTTATAGCTGAAAGTTCAGATATAAACATTTAAGATTACATGGCAAAGGATGACATATATAATGTTTTCAAGAACAAGCAGCTACAGCAAGCATGTAGATATAATTTAGATGTGCAAGATCTGGGATAACACATCTTCCTTCAATACTACAAGAAATTTAAACTGCTTAGATTTTCTTTTTGATGAAAAGCAAGCAAAAATATCTCTTCGTTTCAATGTAATTTTATCTTAAAATTGAGCTGAGAAGTGATCATTTGGAAGAAAAACATTTTGTAATGTTATTACCTAGTCTTCTTAAATTGGGTCATAGCTATGTTAATTTCTTCTTTGCTGCTCTCCCTCTTAATCCAATCCTTCAAGAGACTGTCTTTGGATAGAAGTGCCTGGGGCAACATACCCCATCAATATTAGGCTGCCTGATGTTTTAGTGATGTGGACAAAGGATGTTACTGCCAAACTCATTAGGCCATGAAGTCTGAAGGCAAGGGCTTAAACTCCGGTCTCTGGAGAGTCAAAGCTTTTCCACACAAGGCCCAGTTTCTTATCATGCCTGTTTCTCCCAGGAATAAACTCCATATTTTAATCAGATTTAAGCATATTTTAACTCCAAGTGGAATTTTCCATCCTTTCTCAAGATCAGCTAGTGCCTTTTGGCTGCCATGAAAAAGCTGCGTGGGTTTCCAACAAGAGCGTATTAATGTCATTACTATCTTTTTTTTTCCCCCTTAAGCCTCCGGAATGATGTACACTTACCTCTAAGGCTTTCTATCTCTATCCATCCATGGTCAATGCCACAAGAGCTGACAAGATCATTTGTTCCACTCCAGTTCTCTAAAAATGACATCCAAGCAGAATGCATAACAAAGCAATATACCTAACCCTTTAATTAAAGCCTACAGAAAATTATCTATCCTTTGGAATGTTTACATACTGTCTAAGAAAATAAGACAATACAATGGCAAGGGCCTTCAATTAGATGAACAACAGTATTCCCCACTCTACTTTTCCAGCCTTATTTTTCTACCACTTCCCTATCTGCTCCAGCCATACAAGTCTATCCACTGTCCAAGTACAACAACCACTTTCCTACCTCCACTCAAGTCATACACATATGCTAAATTATGAGACAGCAATGATCTCAAAGGCACAAGCTATGTCAGCCAAGTTGGAAATGATTCAAGCACAGCCTGATAACAGTCCATGATCAAAACCTAGCATGCAAATGTTATGGATGTTAAATGTCCAAAGACATAAATTGGGCAAGAAGAATCACATTTTTTAAAAAGGAAAGACACTGTGGTTTAATGAAAAGAATTCTGAGCTTGAATTCAGGAGCACTGACTTTTAGTTCTGTTTGGGCAAGTCACTTAACCACTTCTTTATCTGAAAAATAGAGAATTTGAACAGATGATCTCTAACATCCCCGTCTTATATCCAATCAGCACTAAATCTATGACTTTGTGACTTTTAAGATTCCCTTCTAGCTCCAAATATATGCTTACATCTTTCCTAGCTGGATTATAATCTAATAATTATGATAATAATTATTATAAATTCATTGATTTATAGGATTCTATCTGATTTTCTATTTCTATACATGCCCCACAGAGGACAGTACTAGACAGCAGGCATTCAATAAATATTTCTCGGGGAGGAGGAGCCCTCAAAACATTCTAGAGGGATTATATGAATTGAATGATTACCAAGTTCATGGACTAGATCATTGGAACAGTACCTAGATCTCTTTATGCTCAGTCTTAACATTAATCCTTCTACAGAACAGTTTATATTCAGAAGCCCTGGTTTAATATCCTAAGGTGCTTACTTAATGAATAACTCTGGTTTATAGGTTTGAGACAGACAGAACTTGGTTGTGCAGTGGATAGAGCACTGGCCCTGGAGTCTCCAGGAGGACCTCAGTTCAAATTTGGCCTCAGATACTTGACACTTATTAGCTGTGTGACCCTGGGAAAGTCACTTAACCCCAACTGCCTCACCCTTGCCCCCCCTCAAAAAAAATTCAGCCTGTTAAGGCAGTCAATGAGATTATATATGGCATACCTAGCACCTGGCTGGATTGGAAAATTCAAAGCATGGTTAGGATGTGCTTAACACCACCTCTTACAAGAGGTCTTTACTGATTCCCCCACCCTACCACTCAAATCCCAGCAGCTAGTGTTTCCTTACCTCCCAAAATTACCTTGTATTGATTTTGTCTAAATTAGATATCTACTTTTAGATGCCTATGACCCCAAGAGACTGCTTCATTTTTGTCTTTCTAACTCCAGCGCCTACCATTGTGTCCAAAACAGAGTAATTGCTTAATACATGCTTATCTACTGACTTACTGCTACAGCAGAGCAGAGTTATAAGAAGAATTTCCCTGTATAGCCAATACCCTGTATTCCCTGTACTCCAAAGATTTTGCAAGGAGAGAATTTATCAACCGTGCAAACCAAGAAATTCTAAGAAGAGGTACTTAAATACACAGAAGCAGCTGTGATTATAGAGATCCACATTTCTTAGTTTCTGAAATCTTTATTGAAAAATGTAGACCAAATCTTAATCTCCTCTTCCCAGTGGCTTTAAAAGAACTTTATCAGAATAAGGCAGGGCTTCTCCCACAGTTACATCTTCCAAGGAGCAGAAATATGCTCATGCTGATGATGACATTATCATTAACAACAGCAACAGCTGCAGGAACAGCTTGATTTCTAGATATAAGTTTTTCTACGAAGCCCCTAAATTAGTTCATGTCAACCATATCCTTTCACCTTAAAAAATGTCTAACATAATTTAGGGAAGGGCATGTGATAATCCTTTTTTACTTAAGAAAACATACAAAGAAGGTGAATTTTCCAAAGTCTTCCCATAAATGCATGGGGGTAGAGTGGTAAGAGAAAGCTCTACAATTCAGATCTTTCCATTTTTGGTTCACACGTCTACAAACAGGTCAACAACGTAAACAACGGTTAGTTTACATGCTACCTGCAAATACCAAACATTCAATGTTTCCTTCTTTGGATCTTGCCTTTCTTGTGCTATTATCATAGAGAGTGCTGGACTCGGAGTGAGGAAAACCTGAGTTTTATTCCTGCCTCAAACACATATTTGTCACATAACCCTGGGCAAATGGCTTAACCTCTGTCTGCCTCAGTTTTTTATCTGTAAAATGGGAATAATAATACCACCTACCTCCTAGGGTTGGTTGTGAGAATAAAATGATATAATATCTGTGACATGCTTTACAAACCTTGAAGAGCTATATAAATGCTAGCTATTCTCATAAGAATATTCAAGTACTAGCCTGGGCATGCAAACATGCAAACATGTGCAAGTCACTTAAATCTCCCAGAGCCTTGGCTGCCTAAATTTCAAAGAATAACATCTGTACTACCTTTTAACATTTGTGCCTACCTTACAGGGATGTTGTGAGGAAAGTAATTTGTAAACTGCAAAGAATTCTATAAATACCAACTATTATCATCCCCTTCTGGTTGCTTTTACTTGTATTACATAGACTTTACATAATTTAATAGGATCATAGCTTCAGAGCTGGAAGAAACCTCAACACATCGGTCATCTAATTTAAACCCCTCAGTTTTACAGATGAGGAAACTGAGACCCAAGACAGTCTCAAAGATAAGGTGACAAACACAGATTGCAATGGAGGTGGTAATGAAAACCAGCTCCTCTAACTCCAAGGCAGGCCTACAACTTCAACATGGTTGGTCTTGAAGGGTGGGAGTCAGGGAGGAGAAGGAAGTTGGTTAGGAGCAGGATATAGGATGAAGGACAAAGGGAAGGAGTTGATTTTTTTTTAAAGTTTGTAGATTTTAAAAACTAAGAATTTTTGGTAGCACATGTTTTCCACAATAATCACAATCTGTCATCTACTGGAACTTGAAAAATGTGTAACTAATGATTTCTGAGACCCTTTATATAGGAAAAATGGATGATAACTTGATAGAGAGAGGGACACAGAAAGAGAGAGAGACAGACAGAGAGACAGAGAGAGAGAGAGAGAAAGAGAGAGAGAGAGAGAGAGAGAGAGAGAGAGAGAGAGAGAGAGAGAGAGAGAGAGAGAGAGAGAGAACCTACTTTTGCCATTCCTGGCATAAATATGCTATAGTGATCTAAATACACATATTCAGAACCTAGTTCAGTGCTTTTCACAAAGTACAAAGAAGGGCAGGCAAGTTGTTATAATGACAGAAGCCTCGGACTTGGAGTCAGTCCTGGGTTCCCCTTGCTGATTTATATTTACTAGCTGTGTGACCTAGGGCAAATCACTTTAATGTGCCTCAGTTTCCTCAACTATAAAATAGGAATAATAATACTTACACTATTTAGCTCACAGAGTTCTTATAAAGACAGGGCTTTTGCTATATCAATAGTAATAGTGACTAATACACGTCTGTGGAATCAACGAATGACTATGATATGCAATGTAGTGTAGTGAAAAGGGCACCAGATTTGGAATAAAAGGGTCTGCGTTCAAATTCTGCCTGGATGACTTATTCCCTATGTGATCTTGAACAAGTCACTTTTCCTCACTAAGATTCAATTTCTTTATTGGTAAAATGAAACATTCCAACCAGATGGTCTTTGTAAGGTCTCTTCCAGGTCAATATATTATGATTAGTCAGTGACAGAGTCAGTAAACATTTATTAGGCACCTACTATGTGTCAGGAAGTGTGCTTAGCACTGGAGATAACCAAAGAAATGCAAAAGAGAGTTCCTGCCCTCTAAGACTCACAGTCCAATGGGAGATACACCATACAACTATGTACAAACAAGCTGCAGAGAGGATAAATTGGAAATAATTAACAGAGGGAAAATACTAAAATTAAGAGGGATTAGGAAGGCTTCTCATAGAAGGTGGGATTTTAGCTGGGATTTGAAGGGAGCCAAGGATAGGCAAGAGGTAGAGATGAGGATGGAGAGGATTCCAGGCATCAGAGGACAGTCAGTGCAAATGCTTAGAATCAGGAGATGCAGTGTCTTGTTTGAGGAATACCAGAGAGGCCAATGTCACTCCATCATTATCAACATCATCATAGTTACTTACATATTGTAAGGCTGGCAAAGTGCTTCCTATACATTTGCCTATTTGATATTTACAACAACCCTATGAGGTAGGCACTATTATTATTTCCATTTTACACATAACTAAACTGAGGGCTTATTATGGTCAAATGACTTGCCTAGTGTTATATAGCTGTTAAGGGTCCAAAGTAGGATTTGAACTCACATATTCTTGAATGCAAAGCCATTAATAAAGATGTGAGTCTTCCATCATACAGAACTTCTTACCTTGGACTATTTTCTATCCTTTTATAAGTGGATATCCCTTGGTATTCTGAACACGGTGGAACCTTTCATTATTCCCTTTCAAAAAGTTCCTTGCATTGTTTATTTCTGATCTCAGCCCAAGAATTGCCAAACAGCATGAAAACTTCTTCATATAGCTCATAAAATATTTAGACTGTGGCAGGCAACATGACCAGTCCACTGAAGGACTAAACAAAACAAAGGGCAGTTTTCTGGTGACAAAACATTTTAAAAGACTGAATGAGGGGGTTATGCCAGTGTATTCCTAGCATAGATGGCTGTGACTCTAAACAAATACCCTAGACCTGAGTCTGCTCATCTCTTCTTCTTTACTTCATTCTTTATTTTACTCTATTACATTTAAATTGTCCCTAGGGGAGACAAGTTCAATGAACTTTAAATCAGCACTTGAGGCATAACTCCAGTGAAAACTACATGAGATCTGAGACGAGGACAAATGAATTGGCCAGCAAAAAAAGGCCAAGGTACTCATACC